AAAATTTGTCTTCTTAGAAATCAAGTAGAAATGCAGAAAATACATAATAAACAGTCCTCTATCAGTTCAACCAAAATGCAACCGAAAAGACCTCCATCTGCACCTTTGTTGGATCTGCCAGGTATTTAAAAATAACTCATTATTGAAGTACTATAGTGAATAATCAATTAATTTTGTAAAATTATTTAAAATTAGAAAATGTAAAATCCAACTGGTGCAATACAGCTACAGTACGTCCGAACAATGCCATAGTGGGTCAAAGAACAAACAGCATGCCCCAGTTACTCGGTGAACCAAAAGATATTTGTATAGCAGAAATTGATAGTAGAAATTATGCATATCAAATACCACATATAAATCATGTAACTGGTAAACTTTTTTTTAAAAATTGGTTCTTTTTTTTTAAATTCTGTACATTATAAAATTAAAATGATATGTTCAAAAAATAACTGATTTTTTAGGAAGTATTTTATATGGTCCTCCGAAGCCACCAAGAACAGGACTAGAAAGAACAAACATAAATGGCAACATTGATAGAAATGTTGACCATGAACCTTCGATGGAAAGAAATTTAAATAAAGCTGAAATAAAAAATGTTTTGCAAAAATGGCAAAAAGGTCTTTTACTTAGCGAACAAGAATCCATGAAATCAGTTGTTGGATATACTCCTGAAAATTTGGTTGCCAGAAGTTCTGGTGATGGTAAATCCTCTGGTTTGTATTTCCATAAATTGTAATTATAGTAATTTATTATTTATGTGTATCTTATATCTTTTTATAATAATGTACTTCATAAGTAGGTTATGGAGATCCCAATATTGGAGGTTATAAAAAAATGGGACCTAGAAAAAGAGAACCCAGGAGGCACACTTTGCAAAATGGAATCGACTACAACATGGTTTGCATTAATACCTTTTTTTTTTTTTTTTTTTTTTGAATTTACCTTGAACATAAATTTTTTTTTCTTTATATTTAAAAAAAAGCTTTAAAGCTTATCATATAACATATTTTAATTAATATACTAATTTTAATAGCTCAAAAGAATCAAACAAATCGAACAAGAAAAAGATGTGTTGATGCAAGGTTTAACTGCGGTTGAAAGAGCTAGAGAATGGTATTTAAAACAAGTTGCCATTGTACAAGAAAAAATGAAATATTTGGGTCGAATTGGATCACACGCGGTATATTTTTTTTTTTTAATAAGTTTTTCTTTAATTTAATATAAATTTTTTGAATTTTATATATTTACGGTAATCAAAAACTTTTCTCTCAGGAGCAATGGAGTGAAGCCCAAGCAGAAAAATTAGAACTTCAAAAAGCTCGAGTTTTGGAAGTAAACCGCCATTTAACTACTTTAACAGAATCATGGGAAAGGGGAGGCCTTCCTTTACATATGAATTTGGCAGTACACAATGCAGCTCCTACTGATGTAGTAACTAGAATAAAACACCAAAATCATCTTTTAAATAAAGTAAGTTTATTGTTTTTTTTTTTTTATTTCGATAATATAAAGAGTAAGGGTTTTATATATTTTTTATTATTGTAGGAAGTTAATCAGAAAAACGAAATAATTTCAGTATTGGAACAGGAAAAAGATGCACTACTGAGAGAACTTTATCAAGCTCGAGCACTATTGCAGTCTCGTAGTGCATAAGCAGACAATTTTAATGATTTAAAAAGTGTTACTTAGTAAATGCTAGAAAAATAAAACAATAAATATATATATTTTTGCATTAAGGCAGTGCCATGTACATTTAAATAATTAAAAAAAAAAAATTTTTGCTTAAAATTTTCTAACCACAATTATAGGTACTAATTTTAATATATAAAATATTAACTAAATTTATTAGATATAATTTTAAGAAAGAATTTAACTTTTTTTTTTTATTGAAAACTTTATAATTCTTGTAAATAAGGAAAGTTTTTATAAAGTGGATCTCAAATATTATAAAAATTGTAATTTTAAATTTCATTTTGCATTTTATTATGTTTTTAGTTTTTATAATGAAGTATACTAAACGTATTAAAGTTTTGTTAACAAGTTACCTAAATTAATAAAAAAAATATATTTTTCTTTTTACATAAATAAAAAAAAAACATTGATTTTTTATAAAAATAATAATTCTTGTCTTATAAAAGCTAAAAATATTATTATTAAATACAAATATGTTGTATTTGAATAATACAGTACTTTTAATAATACAATTATTATTTTTTATTATTAAAGTAATTAATATTTTTCGATAAAGAATTCACAAATAATAATAATAATAAAATGTTATTAGATATAATATTAAAAGGGACACAATAGGATAAAAATCAAATAAAGATTGTAAATAAAAAAGCTTTTGCCATAAAAATTTTAAGATGTACGTTAATTTTAAGTCGGTAAACTGATTACCTTGAAATGAAATATTTTTAACAAATAAATTTTTGAACATAATTAAATACAGAAAGTTTTGTAAGTGTAATTTTAAATTAAATATAAATAATTAATATAAATTATTTGTCTTTGATATTTTCAGGAACTGGAAAAGAAATTCCATCGCAAGGTAGTTGAGAGTATAAAAAAGGTGAGACCCATGTTAGTGGCCACCTTTGCCCAAAGACCATTTCTAAATTTTTTCTTTTACCCAGGTTATAAATATTATTCAAGTTTTTCATTTCATACACAACGGTGCCTTTAAGAATTAATTTTAAATGAAAATAAAACCAAGATGTGCAAAATAATATACCAATAATACCGATAACTGATATCAACAAGTACAGAAGATTAATATCAAATGTATCAGAACCTAAATCTAAAAGTAATGCAGCGAATGGAAATAAAATGGCAAAAGCTAAATTATAGTGATTGAGTGATAAATTACTTTTAACAAAATACAAATTAAATGGTGCAAAAAGAGATGTTGCAATCATTAAATAAAATACGAAATAAAAAAAAAAGCGATGATTGAAAAATCCGATGCAACAGCTAGTAAACACACAATGATGGTCTCTCTTTAGTATACAAGTATTACAAGAAGAGCAATGAAATGATCGAGGTGGAGTGTATGAATTGCAAATGGAGCAATAACGTACTCCAGGCACGTCTGCTGTAGGCATTATCCTGCCATTAATGCTAGTATCCAACATTAGTATTCCTAATAAATTACCAACAACGTTATGCAATATAAAATGCCCAAATAAAAAGCAAGACCAGTATACTATTGGATATTCTGCAAAAAGGCAAGGAAGAACTACCCATATTTCAAACCAGTACGTTACGGGTATGATAAATATAATAAATAGCAAACAGGGATATTCCAAAAAATTTTTCGGCAATAAATTTACGCGACGTTTAAACATTAATTCTTTCATAATGTTTATTTAAAATTTAAATTACATTTCTAAAAAAAATTTAGCATTAATTATCAGGAACTAGTTTTAATATAATGTACACTATCTAACATTGTACGAAATAGATAAATTATCAAAACAAAATTTAATCTAATCAGAATTCATAAGTGACACTAATAAATCGATTAATACATGTTTATTTAGAGTTGTAAACATGGCAGCAATGACTAAAATCACAAGTTTTCTGCTGTCAAAGATGACTTCATTGTCTGGGGGGTTATTCGAATATTAATAGGTGCTTTAACACTCTTTTAAATTATTTGTTTTTGTATCATTAATTATTCATTTAAAATATGGGCTCTCGAATCAGGTATGTAATATTAAATTTACATTTTTTTTATTTTCGTTAAATGTGTCTTTTGTTGCGTTGTTTTTATACTGATAAGAACAGTATTATTACACTTCATTAAAATAATCTTTATTGCCTGATAATAATTCCGTTGTATCATTTTTAACTTTGTCAGAAATTATTAGAAAATGCATTTTTTTTTTTATTATTAGTTATAAAATCATGATATTTAGAAAAAATTTTTTAATTAATTTTTCAAAAATATGATTAATGTATATATATATATTTTTAAGTGCTTGAGAGAAAGTCTATTATGAAAGATAGTATTGCCTCCCACATTCAAATCAGCCTGTTGACAAATATGTATTTTTTCTTTATGTATCTTACATTTGGTTTCATCTTTTCTTTTTTTTTTTTTTGTATTTGTGCCAATAAATTTTTAGCTAAATTAAGATGAATTTAAAATAATATTTTTTTTTTGAATTTTTAAATTTTAATAAATATATGTTTATATATTTAGGTATATTCATTTGTAAAATCTTAAAAATTTTAATATCAAATTTAATTAATACCTATCCTAACGTAAATGTCAACGAAATATTTTTTATTAAACTTAATTTACAAAATATTTAATTATAATTTTCTTAATCGGATTTTAAAAACATTTACTTTAGGGAAGATGTAGAAAATTTGTACCTGTGTTTTTGTGAAGTTGCAAGACCAGAAACATCAGAAAAAGATGCTTGGATAATTCAAAAGTTTCCAGATTCGTATAAAGATGATCATATATTAAAATCAGTCCCTAGATTCACTTATCCTTGTGAGTTTGAAAAGTAAGTGTTTTTAAACAATTTAAATGTGTTTAAAAAAAAAAAAGTAAAGCTTTGATATAATTTTTGTGATTTTTTTCAGTATAAATGTTCAGCATTTTTCTTTTGTATTGACAGACCTAGATTCCAAATGGACATTTGGATTTTGTAGGCATGACCCCAAAACTGAAACAGCCCTAGTATTTCTTAGTCATTTACCTTGGCATGAAGTGTTTGCCAAAGTATTGAACTCTGTCGCTGAACTTATTAGGTCTTCAATGCCTGATCAATTAGATAAATTTTTATGTAAACTGTTAGAAAGTAAAGTTCCTCTACCTGGTGCAACATTAAGCTTTAGTTATAATAATGATCAAAATGTAAGTTTTTCATTTATTGTATCATCCTAATAAGATATAATTACCTAGTAATATTACCCTAGAGCTATTATGTAATTATGTCTTTATTTTATAATTATTATAACTATTAACAACTTAATTTGTTTTAAAACTTTTAATATCGAGCAATTGCGATCAATGGTTCTCCTAATATAATTCTACATGTTTATTTATTTTAAAACTACCTATTATACAAGTTTATTACATATTGTTATTTATTAAATATTAATCAATTTTAATTTATTTCAGGTGTTTGAATGTCAGAGCCCATTACAATTTCAGCTTCCTAAAATACCCCAAAGTGTAAGATAAACTATACGATAATTTTCTATAACAGTAATGGAGTTAAAGTATTTTGAAAAATTAATTTTAATTTTAAAATTTTAGAAAAATTTAACTGAATATTATAATGCAGTAGATATAAGTAATATGCTAGTCATTTTTGCATCAATGTTATATGAAAGAAGAATAATATTCACATCCAGAAAATTATATCGATTAAGTGCATGTGTTCAGGCAGCAAATTTAATTATTTATCCAATGCATTGGCAACATATATTTATTCCAGTTCTTCCAAAACATTTGTGTGAATGTTTATTGGCGCCTATGCCATTTTTAATTGGTGTACCTACTTCACTTTGGGAAGTGAGTAGTAATTAAAGTTTTTTTTTTTTTTTCTAAATTTGAGTTCTTTTGTAAATTTTTTCATTTAATGGCTGCTTTCTTTTTAGAATGTTCATAAAGCTGATTTGGGAGATGTTGTCGTTTTAGATGCTGATAATAATACAATAAAAACTCCTTTTAACGATGTAGATTCACTTCCTCAAGATGTTGTCAGTATTGAAATAATAATTTACCAACCCTGTTTAAATTTCGATAAAATTAACAAATTGCATTTTGTCTGCACAGGTAAAATTTTTAAAAAGTCAGCTTAAAAATAGAAGTGCATTGATTGGAGATGGATTTGCAAGGGTTTTTTTAAAAGCTTTAGTTCAACTGATCGGTGGATACAGAGATGCACTTAAACTTCAACAGGGTCAAAAAATAACATTTAGCCAAGAAGCCTTTGTTGAATCAAGACCTTCCAGCATGCAGCCTTTTCTTAAAGACATGCTTCATTTACAAATTTTTCAACAAGTAAATATTTAAAAAAAAAAGTTTTTACTCAAATTTTAAAATATGGTTCTTGATTACGAAAATTTTTTTTTTTTTTTTTTTTTTTTACTTTAGTTTATTGACGAACGTTTAGATCTTTTAAATTCTGGAATGGGTTTTTCCGACGAATTTGAATTTGAAGCTTGTAATTATTCAGAAAAATCTAGTTCGAAAATAAAAGCACAATATAAAGAATGGGTTTCAACGATGAGGTCTCAGGGTACTGCTTTTTTTAAAACAGTGAAAAATAAAGTAAGCAGAATGTATAAATCAGAATAAATTGGCGTACACATAAACATTACAAATATTTTACTTCAAAAGTAATTAATGAAAAATTTCATTTTAGGCAAATCCAGCCGTCAAATCCGCTGTAAAATCCGTGAAAGAAAGAGGAAAAGAAGTGAAAACTGCATATAAAGGAATCAGGTTGAAAGTTAAAAAAGAAGCCGATAATTTTAGGGAGCATACAAATTTAAAAGTCAATATTTCTAAACCGAGATCTGCTCCAAGTTCACCTACGTTACACAGAGCTCGACCCATGTCCTTTGGTAATTTAGATCCCATATCAGTCGCTTCCACATTTAAAAAGCAAAAAAGGTTTGCTGCTCCCGTAAACAGGTGGGTAAAATTTTAATTTTTACTTTTTAATTCATTTGGAGACATTGGAAATCCAGGTTTTATTAATGTAGAATTTACCTGATTTATTTTTTTTACAGTTCCAGAACAACAGAATACGTATCCCTAAGTCCTCAATCGGATGATTTTCTTTCTCCTTTGGGAGATTCTGACACGGCATCAAAATCAGATATTCCTAATTTAAATATGGATCTTATGGGAGATTTACAAGAAATAATCAATAGACAATGCACAATTAGTAATAATAATAATAATAATAATAATAGCAACACTTCTTTTCCACCTGTGTATAGGAGTGTGAGTATTATAAATTGTTTATGGAAATTACATTTAATTTTAATTGTGTTATGGTACGTTTGGCATATGTATTTCTAGAAGCACTGCTTTACATAAACTATTTTTTTTTTTTTTTTTTTATATCGAATTTAATTGCATGAAAATTGATTTTTTATTATTGTACTTGTCCGTTATTTCATTTGATGTTTTATTAATTCTTAGATGCATGTATTTAACTTGCCACATTGTTAGCAAAAGAATGATTTTTTTCATAAAAACAATTTTAAACTTTATATTACAGTATTGAGTATCATGAAAGTATATCGAGTAGGATCAAAGTAAAAAAAAAAAAAAAGGAGTTTTAGCATGCATTTAAGAGTTAATATATTTGTTTTATACAATATAAATGAGAAGATAATTAATTATATTTAACAACTAAATGCCAGGTTTTTTTTTTTATTTTATAGAGTTTAAATTATTTTTCCTTTTAATAGAGAGTACAACGCTTGGCTTAATTTTTGTGTGTGTTATTGTTTATACCGTATTGTTTTCCAGTTAAAACCCGTCAAGAGTTTTAATACGTTTCACAAATTCGAGGTTGTGGAAAAGGATTTCTCGAATTTACAAACGAATCTCGAAAATTTAAAGAAGTCTGAACATTTTCCTGTAAAATCAACCTCTAGTTTACCGATCACCACAAATCCTTTTACCAATGATTGGGGGAAAAAAAATTTTTCAGATGGCACCACAGTTTTTGAATCTGAGACAGTAGACAAAAATCCCATTGAACATGGCCTAAATTCAATGAATCCATTTTTTCCCGATATTGTACAGACTTCTCTAAAAGTTAAAAATCCTTTTGCTGCAACTTCAGCTCCGTCTGACTCCGTAAAGGTAATTAATTGTAAAATTAAAGTTTCGAAAATCCTTGAAGGAGTTGAAAAAAAAAAAAATTAAATTTAAAAAAAATATTCATTGTCTTTATTTAGTTAAGTTAACAAGTTAAGTTTAGTTAAGTTTTATAAATTTGACCACATTATTTAAATAAATTAACTTGGGTAATTTTACTAAAAAATGGTTGTTTTGTATTTTAGTGTAACGGATCGGGTTCAGTGGGAGATCTCATACGATTGGATTCAATACCGAAAGAAGAAAGTTTTGATCCGTTAGATAGAACGGATAGCGAAGAAACAATTGCCTTTCCCAAAGGGCTAATAAATCCTTTGTATCCCTATTATAAATTAAATGGTACCACCACCACCACCACAGATTCTTCAATGGACGTTACAAAAGAAACAAAAGAACCTAGTTCGAATATTTCTTTCTTACATAGAAATTCAAATGTGTTAGGAAGTTCTAATTTCAACAAGCAAGATTTAGATTTGTTAAAAGAATATGGTATGGATTTCAGAGCCAACACAACTCGGAGTGATTTAACTAATAATTTATCATCAAATAATGATCCCTTCGAATTGTCATTCGATGATTCTACTGTAGTGAAAAAAAAAAGCAATTGGGCTACTTTTGAATAACTCGTATTTATTATTTTTTATAATACGTATAAGTCTGAATATCTGCGATAGACTGAAGTTTTCCAATAGTGTCTCCTTCTATATATTGGAACCAAGTTTTATCACAAATTGTTACCTGCACTCACATTTTAGTTTTTATAAAACAATCAAAATCAATTATATTTATATTTTTAAACAGAGTATGCATTTAAGCATGCATACATCATTTTTTTTTTTTTATTCTATAAATTTTTGTTGTATTTCTAAAAATATATGTGTGAGGTATTAGGTTATTTAAAATCCAATGAAAAGAAGAAATACTCAAAGTTTAAAACAGAAAAAAAAAAACAATATAAAATCAATTTTATCAATTTATTAAAAATAGTTGATAATACATTTACATTTAAAAAAAAAAAAAATTACAATTAATTTTTTAAAAAAAATGTGCAATTTATAATAACATTAATATTTATTATTATTATTATTTTTTATTTAAAAACTAATAGCCACAAAAAAAAGCATCATTATAAAAAATAATGTTCAATTTTATAATTTTATTATTTTTTTAATAAATTGTTTTGTAATTTTATTTTAAAAAATTTATTTTTTTTTTTTTAGTAACAATTTTTGTGATTGAACTACTCTTGTAAGAGAGAGAGAGAGAAAGAGAAAGACAATGAAATTGAGCATTTAATAATAATAATAATATTTCATACATAAATTTATTTTTTAAAAAAATATTTATTTATTTTTATAATTTAATCACAATTTTTTTGTTATATATATATATTTTGATTTTTTATTGAAATCAAAATATTCGATTAAATGTTTGTTTGTTTGTTTGTTTTTTGATTCACTGTAAAAAAAATTTGATTTTTTATTATAATTATTTTCTTTTTACATCATTAGTTTAACTGTAACATAGATAAATTTGAAACATTTATAAAATCTTTCAAAAAAAAAAATTTGTAAGTGAACTTTTAAAGTGAAATTTTAAAATTTTACTGCCTTGTAAATATTATCACACTTACTTAGTAATCACAGCATTATGATGGCTGAAATCAGAAATTATTGTAAAAAAAAAAAAAAAAAATGTTGCCTTAAAAAAAGTTACAAATTTTAATTACCATTATTATTAATAAAAAAAAGGAAAAAGTTTGTAAATAAATATGAAAATCATGTACAATTAAACATTAAAAGTATACACAAAAGTACATTCTGCTTTTGAATTAACCATGGCCAGATAATTTTTTTTTTGTTGTTTAAATTAATAAAGTATGTTATTTAATTTTTTTAAAGAAAGTAACACTTTCCATATTTATAAAATTTGAATCCTATTGTAAATTCCAGTTTTATCACATGTTTCATATCAATATTCCAAACTCATTTGCATGTTTTCTTGTCCTTCTTCTTGATTTGCTTCTTTAAGTCTTTTTTTTTGATTCAATGCTTCTTTTTTTGAATTTTGAATTTTCCTAAAATCTGATTAATGAAATATTATAAATAGTAGTTTTATCTTAAAAATGATAATTGGTGATTTTTCATGCAAAAAAAACATAACATGATAAAAAAATGATTATGAAATTAAAGCGTATAACAAATGATGAAAATAAAATGACATTATTAAAAAATTAAATTAATATTATTCGTACGTTCAGCAGCTTCATTTAATTGTTTTTCAAATCTACCGAATTCTGTGTCTTGAATAGCCTCCATTACATCTTCATTCGTTATAATTTTTTTACCGTTTCCTATCGATATTTTATTTGCATGCGAAGTTAAATACAAAACAAATACTGAAGCTGCTCTAGACAAAGCTAATTTAGCCTCTTTAGCTACATTACATCCTTCTGGTAAAGCTTCTTTAATGATACGAGTAACAACCGCAGCTGGTAAATTTAAATCCTCTAATTTTTCAGCCATTTTTTACAGCAACTTGTTAGAAAAATTAAAAACATCAACAAAAGACGGGTTGGCCAACTTAAAAATCTATATCATTTTCGTGGTTATAAAATGTTTCGTTCAATTTTTTAATGTTGTCACTCTGGCAGTACGAGTTTGGTTTTATTATTTAGAGGTGGAGATGTTTTACAAGAATAATTTACATTTATTTAAATATAAAATATAAATATCTTAAGAAACATTAATAATATTTTAAAAACAGTACTTTAAATCAGTGTCTAAAAATGTCTACCACTGAAACTCAAATAACTAACATTGTTAATGAAATATTGGTAAGTTAATTTTTTGTCCGGCTTAAAATTTGAAATCGGCAGTTATTATTTCGGTATTCTGTTTATACGTAAGACTTTAGCTTCTCTTCATTTATATAATTTTTTTTAGAAACACAGTAACAGTTAATCTTGCCTTTTTTTAATTTTTACCATTTGTACGGCTTTTAAAATTACTGTCAAAGTTATATCACTTAACTGTATTTTGTAGATTTATTTCATAGATTTATTTTTCTATTAAACAGAAAGTTGAAGGAATGGAAGAAGCTTTCAGTTGCTTCTTAGTTCACAGACCTGATTTTGAAAATGAAAAAATGGAACAATTTCGTTCAGAACTTCAAATTGCTTTAAATAATGTCGTACCAGAACAACAAGAAGCTGGAGTTAGGCAATTTTTACTTTTAGCAGCTAATATGACAAATCCTAGTAGACTTCAATTTTTATTACAATTGCTTGAGGGAGCAGTACAGAGTAACATTGTTTCAGCTAGGTATTTCATTTACTTTTATTCCAGATTTATGTTTTCGCATTCTCATTTTTGAAATTTTACTTTCAGGCTAGTTTGTGAATGCATACTTTCTTGTGATAAATTATCATTAAATAATCAAGATTTCTGGGTTCAGTGTTTTCAATTAATGAGAAAAATAATAGTCGGTGTTGATTACAAAGGTGTTAGAGAAATTATGAAAGTAATTTTTTATTTATCAACATAATTTTTATTATTATTATAAAAGTAAAATGTGAAAATTAACATTGAATATTTAGGGTTGCAGAGAAAAAGCAGCTGTAATACCTGCAAAGTTAAATGCTGCTCAAATGCCACAAATCACTGCTTTGGAATCAGTTATGGAATTTATTTTTGACAGAAATGCTTGTTTGCTTCCTGCTTATTTTATTGTAAATGAAATTCAGAAAGCATATCCTGAAAATAAAAATTGGCCTCATTGGGTAAATAAAAGTTTCAGTATTTAATTTTTAGTTATGTAAGTTTACCAAAATAAAATTTTTTTAATTTTAGAAACTGGCAAATTTATTGTCTGGTTTCGTTGAGAGTTTTCGTCCTTGTGCACAAATGGTATCTATAGTTGGCCACTCAAAATTGCTACCAGTTGTTGAACATTCTGGATATGCCGATCATTTAAGTCCCTGGAAATTAGATCCAACTACTTTAAAGTTTACCTTAAAAGGAATACTTCCATATGACAGAGAACTCTCCGAACCTCAAACTGGTTTACTCAGATATGTATTAGAGCAGCCTTACTCCCGAGATATGGTTTGCTGCATGTTAGGCTTAGTCAAGCAGGTTGTATATTTAAAAAAAAAAAAAGATATAATTAAGGTTTGTTTTTTTATCTAAAATAATTTTATCTTTTTTTTTATAGCACAAACAACGTTGTGTTGCTTTAGAAGAGCAGTTAGTAGCATTAGTTGTTGTAGCAATGGAAAGATCAGAGACAGAGACTGGTGATTCTTCTCATTGGCTTTGGTTACATCTGTCATCTCAGCTTATTTATTTTGTTCTTTTTCAATTTGCTTCTTTTCCTAATATTGTAATGGCGTTACATGATAAGGTATTAAGTTTGTATACTGTTTTTACCATCAATTTTTTGTGTTTACTGTTTCAATTTAAATTTTTTAGCTTTCGGGAAGAGATTTGAAAAAAGGAAGAGATCATCTGATGTGGGTTTTGCTTCAGTTTATATCTGGAAGCATTCAAAGAAATCCTGTAAATATAACAATGAAAAAATTATGTATATATATAAATAATTATTTAACTATACCTAGAATTGAAAAAAAATGTATTATTTTAGCTTAGTAATTTTCTCCCAGTGTTAAAATTATATGATTTGTTGTATCCAGAGAAAGAACCGTTGCCAGTACCGGATGTTAATAAAGCAGTATGCACTCATCAGATGGCTATGACTTGTATATGGATTCATTTGTTAAAAAAAGCTCAAGCTGACCATTTAAATATTCAACGGCCAATTCCTTTGACATTAAAAATACATCATGAGTAAGTGTAATGTGAAAATTAAAATTCAAAACAATTAGCCCAATATAAATAAAAGTTTTAGTTTTATTTTTAATCTCGAAAATAATTTGAGTCATTTATTTTTATTTCTTATTTAATATTTCAGGTTTTTACAGCATTTAGTTCAGCCTAATAATAGTTTAGGTTTATGCATGGGTGCAGATTACAGAATAGCTTTATTGTGCAATGCTTATTCTACGAATCAAGAATACTTTACAAGGCCAATGGCTGCCTTAGTAGAGACTATTTTGGGAGCTCAAAAATCATCATCCTTGCCACCTGGACCTACAACTCCCCTTTCGATGGCTATTCTAGATTCTTTGACCGTTAGTAAAACTTAAAAATTTTTAACATTTTTACACAACTGTTTTTTTAAGTTATTTATTTCACAAACTAATTTTTAAGGTTCATTCGAAAATGAGTTTGATTCATAGTATTGTCACACACGTTGTTAAACAAGCTCAGAGTAAATCAATTTTAGCATTGGCTCCTGCACTTGTGGAAACTTATAGTCGTTTATTAGTTTACACGGAAATCGAATCTCTGGGCATCAAAGGATTTATAAGTAAGCTTTAGTAATTAATTATTAAAAAAAAAAAATTAAGTAATGGCTAGTAAAAATTAAATTTCATCGTAAAAAATAGGTCACTTGCTTCCTACTGTTTTCAAACATCATGCTTGGGGAATTTTATACACATTATTAGAAATGTTCAGTTATCGAATGCATCACATTCAGCCTCATTATAGAGTACAATTGCTTTCTCATCTCCATAGTCTTGCTGCGGTTCCGCAAACGAATCAAACGCAGCTTCATTTATGGTACAAAAAAATATTTTTTTAGTTCTTCTTATGTGTTTTATAATTTCAGATTAAGAAAGAAAGTTTTAAAAGAAGTAAAAAACTAAAAAAAATTAATCTGGGTTTTATTATTGTAGCGTTGAAAGCACGGCACTAAGACTTATTACTGGTTTAGGATCGGCTGAAGTTCAACCACAATTATCTCGGTTTTTGAACGAACCTAAAACACTCGTCTCTGCTGAATCAGAAGAGTTGAATAGAGCTCTGGTACTAACTTTGGCTCGATCAATGCACGTAACTGGAACAGGTACGTAAAATTTAAAATAGTGATTGAAACCTGATTTTAAAATGTTGTGACGGTTGATTATTTTTTAAATTTCAGGATCGGACTCTATTTCGGGAACGTGGTGTAAAGAACTACTCAGTACTATCATGCAGAACACTCCTCATTCATGGGCTAACCATACTCTTCAATGTTTTCCATTGGCTTTGCACGATTTTTTCCAACACAGTCCCGTGCAAAAAGAAAATAAACCACAACTCAAGGTTAATAATTTTTACTTTTATTTAAATAAATGTTTTTTATATTTTTTAAGTAAAAAAATTAACATCTTTTTAGAAAGCTGTTGAAGAAGAATATCGAAATTGGGCTTCCATGAACAATGAAAATGATATTATAGCTCATTTTTCCGTAGCTGGAACTCCTCCTTTATTCATTTGTCTATTATGGAAAATGATTTTAGAAACGGACAGGATAACATCCATAGCTTACAAGTAAAATATAAAAAAATTGCGTTTAAATTAATTTTCTGAAGTTGATTTAAAAAATTTTTAAAATATTTTATTATTATTATTATTATTATTATTATTTTAAGAATTTTAGAAAGAATCGGAGCTCGAGCTTTATCTGCTCATTTAAGAAAATTTTGTGATTATTTAGTTTTTGAATTTGCAAATTCAAGAGGAGAACAACACGTTAATAAATGCGTGGATGCGTTGAATGATATGATTTGGAAATATAATATCGTAACAATAGATCGATTGGTTTTGTGCTTGGTAAGCCCGTTCAAAAAAATTTTTTTTTTCTTTATTAAACTCTGTTTTTTTGACTTGGCGTTTAATTTTTGTCATTGCCATTTAACAGGCTCTTAGGACACAAGAAGGTAGTGAAGCCCAAGTTTGTTTTTTCATTATTCAATTACTTTTACTAAAAGCGGCTGAATTACGTAATAGAGTTCAAGACTTTGTTAAAGAAAATTCTCCCGAGCATTGGAAACAATCAAATTGGCACGAAAAACATTTGGCTTTTCATAGAAAATATCCGGAAAAATTTGCACCGGAAGGGATTTTGGAACAGAGTGGAGGAGCTTCATCTCCCTATCATTCTCTTCCCGTTTACTTTGGAAATGTTTGCTTAAGATTCCTACCTGTATTTGATATAGTTATTCACAGGTATTTAGAACTTCCTCCAGTTACTAAATCTTTAGAAACATTATTAGAACATCTAGGATGCTTGTACAAGTTTCACGGTTCGTATTTGAGTTGTGTGATTATATCAGGTGTTAAGACCTCCTATTAAAAAATTGAAAACTCATCACCTGTAATTGTTTTTGTTTCAGATCGTCCCGTTACGTATTTATACAATACCTTACACTATTATGATCGTAATTTAAGAGATCGACCTGTTTTGAAAAGACGTCTTGTAGCTGCTATTCTTGGTGCTTTAAAAGATATTCGTCCTCCCGGATGGAGTTTATCTGAAGCATACATAAATTACATGTCGGGATCTGGGGATGAAGTGTCTTGGCTTCCAGATTTGGATTATTACATTAAATTAATTCGCAGAATAGTAGAAAGTATATACATTCAATTAAATTTTTTTTTGACTGAAACAATTTTTAGGAGGAGTCAAGAATATAATTATCATTCTTAAATTTTTTTTTAGCCATGAATGGTAGCAAAGCCCATTTTCCTTCAACTGATTGGAGGTTTAACGAGTTCCCCAATCCTGCTGCTCATGCTTTATACGTGACATGCGTTGAATTGATGGCCGTACCCGTATCTCCTTCTGTAGTTGCTAATAATTTATTAGACGTGGTAACAAAAGGGTATAGCGTGATTCCGTGGGATCAAATTCATCTTTGGATCAATTCGATCGGGCTGGTTTTGGCTGCCTTGCCGGAGTCCTACTGGTCGATCGTTGACGATCGCCTTATAGAAGTCATGACTTGTAGCCGTATGACGAATTGGCCTTACCATAATTCCGCATTTCAAATATTTAATTTTTCGGTTACTCACGAGTCATTATTAGAAAACAAGTTTTCCTACATACTCGCTCTCGCCCACGCGATGTGGTATCATGCCGGAGTTGGACAAATATCAACCTTACCAGTGTAATTATTGGTTCATAATTTTAAATTTTAAAAAAATTCCACGAGTTATTTTCAGCACGACTTTTAATTTTTTTTTTTTTTTTAGATTTGTCAAAGAAAAAGCAAAGACGGTAATCAAAACGGAAGAACAATTTTTATTTCTATGTCATTTGGTAGGACCTTTTCTTCAAAGGCTCAACGCTGAAAGGCCGCGATGCGTGCTCGAATTAACAATTGAATTGTATGAGTTGCTCGAACAAGTTGACAAATCGGTTTTACAATTAAAATATATGGATCCCATTTGCGATCTATTGTATCCTTTATTATTATTATTATTTTTTTTTTTTTTTTTGTATTCAGTGCCGAAACGAGGATATTATTTTGAAAATTTTTTTTTTATTTTTAATTTCCTTAACTATTTAAAGGTATCATATAAAATACATGTTTGTCGGAGATATGATGAAAAATGAAGTTGAAACAATCATTCGAAGACTTCGACCGGCTCTTCAAATGCGTTTGAGATTTATAGCTCATTTAAATATTGAAGAAATTCACGCGCAGTAAAATTATTATTTATAATAATATTTTTTTATTTATTTTTTTTTAAGGGTACGAAACATTTTAATAAGTTTAGTATGTATTTGATAGATATATATATTTGAATAGAATCATAGTGTTTATAAAAAAGTTGTCGCATTCCAAGAATCTCGAATTTGAAAAGGAAAAATAATTTCAAGAGTAATAACGTATCAAGTGTTAATAACGCCATTTTTTTTTTTTTTAAGAATAAAATGGTAAAATTATTCTTGTATAAATTTTTGTAAAAATAATTATTTAATTCAGGACTCTAAGAAAAAAAAAAAAGAAGTTTCAAGTAATTTTTAAATATAAAAGCGTTTATATTTTGATAATTTTTTAACTATATTTGGAAAAATATATGGAAAGATAATAATAAATGGTAACGAATACGAATTTTATATTGTAAAATTTTTTTAAAAAATTTTTATTAATGACTGTATGTAAAAGTAATTAAAAGTATCATTTACAATAAAGAGAAGGATTTACAGTATATTTGTTTAATTAAATATTCTTTTAATCATTTTGAAATAAAAAAAAAAAATCAGATATTCATTTTAATATATTTAAAAAAATTTTAAGTTATTTTGAAATTAAATTTTTATTTATTTATTTATTTTTAAATATAAAATAAAAGGAAAATATTTTGTTTCACAAGTAAAAAAATGAATCAAAATATATTTTATTTATTTTATTAGTTTTTTTTACGTGGGTGTAATCTATTAAATTAAATTTAATAGAGCAAATATTAAATTTCACTCTAGAAAATACCGTTAATTGAAGAAGACATTTTGAATTTTTACAAGTCAGGTATTATGTTGGTATCACTGGGTTCATTTATAAACATATACTTTGTAAGATAAGGTTTTTTTTTTTTTTTTAAATTTATTTTGCCTTTCGTAATACAAATGTTTAGAATTTAGAGTATGGTTTAAGTTTCTATTATATTTATTTTTTTTTAAAATGAAATATTTAAATCCTATTGTTTATATGAACGTAAAAATCGACGACGAAATAAGTAAGTTTTTATTTTGTTGATTTACTTACTGTACCTCAAAAATTTAAAATTTAATTGTAAATTTTTTTTGTTTTATAGTTGGACGAATAGTTATTGAACTGTTTTCTGATATAGTACCCAAAACTGCTGAAAATTTTTTAGCATTATGTATTGGTAATCATTTTAGTCAAAATTCTGGGAAAAAACTTCATTATAAGGGTACGATTTTTCATAAAATTGTACGAGGACTTTTTATACAAGGTGGAGATGTTGTTAATTTAGATGGTTCTTCTGGAGAAAGTGTATTCGGCTTGCCTTTTGAAGATGAAAACTATGCTTTAAAGGCAGATATCAACTTAAAATTTCAAAATTGTATTGTTTCAGAAATAGTTGATAAAGTTTTTTAATTTCAGCATGACCGGGCGGGTGTTTTAAGTGCCGTTAATAGTGGTCAAAATCAAAATAATTCTCAGTTTATTATAACAGTCGGTGAATGTTCTCATTTAGATGGTTCCTGTGTAGTATTTGGTCAAGTACGTAAAGGACTAGCTTGTGTCATTGAGGTAAATTCATTTCGTTTTTATCACATATTCACTTTATTAATTGATTTTAATCAAAATTATTATTTAAAAACTTATTTTTAGATTAGTGAAGTAAAAACTGAAGACTCTCAACCCATGTGTAAATGTGTCATAGAGGATTGTGGACAGTTGTTGCCTAACGAACCATGGAGTTTTGGCGATAATGATGGAACCAGTGATACTCATCCTCCAGATCCTAGAGATTTGGATTTGGAATTATGCAATGTAAGTTAAACAGTACACTTAAAAGTTAAAATTGAATAAAATTTTTTTATTTAATTTTTTCAGGTAGTCGATTATTTAAATGTTTTAAGCCAAATTAGAGAGTCTGGTAATTATTTTTTTGCAAGGAAAAATTTCATAGAAGCCGGTAGAAAATATAAGAAAGCGATAAGATACATAAATTTTTGGATATCACAAAAATATTTAAAAGGATTAAGTACGAATGAAATAAATGATTTTCACAATGAACTTGAAAAAATAAATGTATGCTGCTCTTTGAATTTAGCAGCTGTTTTACTCAAAAAAGGTTTATTTAGGCAGTCATATCAATTGTGCGATGAGGTAAATTTTCAAACAATTTAAAAAAATCAACAGATATGCAGTTCTTTGTGATTAATTTTATTTTATTTTATTTTTTTTTCAGGTTGTAAATAAGGAAAAAAATAATGCAAAAGCCTACTACAGACGTGGTATGGCACTTAAACATTTAAATGATTTCGAAGGTGCTTTAAAAGATCAAAAAATGGCATTATCATTACTTCCGAATAATAAAAGTATTATGGATGAAATAAACGAAATAAATTCGTTAAAAAAAAAATATTTGTTACATGAGAAAAAAGTATTTTCAAGAATGTTTCATGAATTTCTATGATACAGGAAGGAAATATTATTAAAACAAAGATACATTCTAAAATTATGATTCATAATCATATATATATTTATATAAGACTTTGTTCGATATTAAAGTCAAATGGGTTTTTGTTATTGTTGTTTGTTAAAATTTTATAAAGTTGTCAATATGCATGGTACCAGACACAAAAAAATGGTAATGGTAAGTAAATATATTATATTAATAAAATTATAATATATATATATATATATTTTGTATAAATTTTATCGTGTAACTACTTTTTTAAAGTATAATATTTAAAAAATAAAAATGGTGATATAATTAGGATATTTTAAAAAAATATTAATTATAAATGAAATTATAGGAAGACATATTTTTATATTTTTTTTTTTGTAATTAAAAAGAATTGATGTATGTTAAAAAAATATATATATATATTAAAAAATATAATTCATTACATTTAACTTGAGATAAGATTAAAAAAAAAAAAAAAAAAAAAATTAATTTAAAAATTTCATTTTACAAATTAAAGTTTACATTTTAATATATATTTTATAATAAAATGTTTAGAATTAAAAATTACATAACAATATCGTTTTTTGCCTTTTTTTTCGAAAGAACACAGTAAGGGGGGGGGGGATCTTCTTAATAAATAGATAATTTTTTTTTTTTTTACATTATTAAGATTTTATTATTAAAACTATATGAAACAATATATATGTATATATATATATATTTTATTTAAAATTAGGGTTTAATAAATTAACACCCATATAAAAGTAGAATTTTTAAAAAAAAAATGTATATAATTCTTACATAATATATATATATATAAAGGATATTTAATTTTCATTTAATATTGAGATCATTATCATTATTTTCAAATATTGCCTTATAATATATCTTTAAAATATCAGTCATTAAATATAATTGACAGTGTTTATTAGTATTTGGTTAGTAGAAAGATAATTTTTAATAAAAAAAAAAATATTCTACCACTATTTTTTTACAATTTCGTGTTTTTTTTTTTTTTTTTTTGTATTTTTTTTCAAATTTAGTTTTTTTTTATTATAAAAATAATTTTAGAGAAAAAAAATCCCAATAAAAATTTACTGCCTTGAAAAATATTTGGCAAATAAATAAAGTCTAAAAATAAACAGTAAAAATGATATTATTACGATAACAATTTTTTCATTCGATTCCATGAGCGAATATCATGAGTAGCCCAGGTTCTGTAATCATATCATCCGTCATATGATGATTATCACAATGTAAAACTACAACTGCTTGCTTTCCAGGAACTTTTTTACATACATAATTTTCATAACTTCTCCTATTACTTTGCCTCGTTTCCAGGGAGCTCAACCCGGCTG